CATCCGACACGCTCGCTGGTTTGAAGAGAACGCTTCTCAGTCCACGTAAGTTTCTCTGCAGCTGGAAGGCCTTACTGACCTAGCCTTCCCTGTATGCAGTGAACAGGCTGTTTCCCCTCTGGGGAAGGGGCTTTCATCACCAGTCCCATACTCCTCTAGCCAGACAGAGACATAACACCAGAGCTCAAGCCCAGCTCTAATACTGCAGGCACATGGCAATCTGGCTTCGCTTGGATCCATGCAGGCCACCACCCCACACATGCACGCACATGGGAGTTTGCCTCCCCTGCTCCTGCATGGCCAACCCTTTCTGATGAAGTGTTGGCTAGCAGAGTAACTGGTAGAGGAAAATCTTTGGGTTCTTCCAGAGCTGATGCTGGGCAGAGGTGCAGCACCTGAGCCCAGGCTCCCAAAGCAGCCCCGTCCCTAATACTCTAGACTGGCCTTGGCAGCCAGCGAGAGGTCCGAGCCCTGTGAAACCCTCTGAGCATTGTCCTTGTAAAACGTCGTCTTTCAGGGTGAAAGTCTTAATCCGATTGCTGAAGGACTTGAGAATCCGATTCCCTGGCTTCGAGCCCCTCACTCCGTGGATCCTCGACCTTCTGGTATGTGAGTGGAAGGGGGCTTTGATCTAAAAGGGCACAGTCTCCATATAGACTCTTTCACTCTGATCTGCTGTGCTACTGTGGCTTCCCTGGCCAATGTTCGGAGGGATCTGGTGGGTCTGCAGCCCCTGACCCTGAATCCCACAGCAACTCAAGCAGTCAAGTCCCACAGATTGTCGCTTCCTGCAGAAACAGGAGCTTTAAAACTGATCTTTCATAAACACTCCCTTGTGTCTAACAACTTCCTCCCCTTACCTTCAGGGGCACTATGCTGTGATGAACAACCCTACCAGGCAGCCCTTGGCTCTCAACGTAGCGTACAGGTACGTGTGCTGCAGATAAAGCGAATGTCAGTTTGGGAATCTTGCCTCTGCTGCTGGTGCCGTGGGCTCTGGTTTCTCAAGACTGTTTCCTGCTGCGTGAACTCCCTTGTCGCTTCTTCAGAACCTCCTGAAACGAGCAGGTTGCTGCTGCGTGTATCTAATTACGGCATTGGCCAGTACCATTAACGCAGGACTTCTTACCTTGAGAGCTCAGGTCTAAATCCTTTCAACTGTGGTGACAAAGCAAACTCACGGCCTATTGAGAACACCGTGAGATGCTGCCACACACACTTACGCCATGTTAGGAGTGTGCTACCTTGGACCACTTTCCTTAGCGCCTAGTGCTAAACATATCCTATGCCGCGCTGGCGACTCACCCCATGGCTCAGCGAGACAATTGTGCTGGGGATTAGTGTCTAACACAGGGGTCGGCAACCTTTCAGAAGTGGTGTGCCGAGTCTTCATTTATTCACTCTCATTTAAGGTTTCGTGGGCTAGTAATACATTTTAACCTTTTTAGAAGGTCACTTTCTATAAGTCTATAATATATAACTAAACTATTGTTGTATGTAAAGTAAATAAGGTTTTTAAAATGTTTAAGAAGCTTCATTTAAAGTTAAATTAAAATGCAGAGCCCCCCGGACTGGTGGCCAAGACCCGGGCAATGTGAGTGCCACTGAAAATCAGCTCGCGTGCCGCCTTCGGCACACGTGCCATAGGTTGCCTACCCCTGGTCTAACATGGAGAATTGTCTGTGTTGCTAATACCTGACTGCCCCACAGGCGCTGCCTTCAGATCCTGGCGGCTGGGCTGTTCCTCCCGGGATCTGTTGGGATCACCGATCCCTGCGAGAGTGGCAACTTCAGAGTCCATACAGTCATGACCCTGGAACAACAGGTGAACTAACCTTTGTGCATGCAGCCTCCCTGAGGCTGGGGTGGTGGGAGTACTCTGGCCCCATGGCATTCTGTAAAGGGGCAAAACTCTAAGAGACCTGGAAGTGCAACTTGCTGTATGAAAATGAGCTAGTGCACTAGTGGGTTTTCTGGCTGCGTTTATCCCCAGGGGTTTCCAGCCTGGGGCTCAACCCTTCCTGTCACTGGGGTTAGAGCAGGAGGGAGTCCTGACCCTGGGTACAGCGTGAAAGAGGGTTTAGGACCCCGGAGGCAATATGCTGGGAAGCTGCCACTTCAGCCAGTCTTGGTGGTGGGATGCAGTTCGTAGGCAGGCGCATGCCTCACTGGGTAAAAGCAAAGACCTGCAGCCCAAGTCTTAATTAAAATTAAACTGTAAACGAGGGAAGAGCAGACCAAAGTCGTCATATCACCCCTGTCCTGGGGAGAGGAGAGCCAAGCCGTAGCCTTGTGCACACAAACAGCGCTGGGTTACCCCAGCTGAGCTGCTGTAGCACGGTCCCTCTGCATGGGGCAGTCAGATCAGGCTCCTATGGCTAAAACGAGGCCATGCTGCGAGCGTGTGATGGGCTGAGCCAAACACTCGAATGCCTGGACGATGGATCTGATATAACGCCAGTAAGAGCTAGTCAGAAAGGCTTTACCCTCAGTGCGGGGGGACTCCTGCGCGTGCATTCATTCTCTACTCCCGTCATAGGACATGGTGTGTTACACGGCACAGACGCTCGTCCGAATTCTCTCACACGGCGGTTACAGGAAGATCCTTGGACAAGAGGGGGATGCCAGCTGTAAGTAGGAGCTCCATGGCTCGTGACTGCTGGTCAGCATGGCCAGGAAGTGCTGGGGCTTTATTTGGAGACACCTCAGGGAGGATGTGGAAGGTTGAAGACTTAAGGAAACCTGGGGCGGGGGGGGCCTTACCTGAGCATATGGCAGAAGAGACCAATCCCCTATGGCTTGACTTGGTCAGACTGAGCAAATCAAGCATGCAGGCACACCCAGCCCGTGACCTGACAAGGATACGTCTGGTCCCTGCATGGTGGGGGCTGTTGCTAGAACTTGGGAGCAGCCTCTTGCCTTGAACCCTGACAACTTGCCCTTGAGAAAAGTGGGCAAATGTAGGGCTTGCTGTCACTAGGGTCTGCTGTCCGCTTCCCGTAACAGCCACAGCGGGAGGAGAAATGGCAGGGGGCTCTGGGTTACTTCAGCTGGTCTCCTCCCCACCTGGCACCGCCCTGGGGTTAGGGTGCTGGCAGGCCCCTGCACTGCAGGCTGACCTGACTTCTTCTCTTTGCTTTGCAGACCTGGCCTCTGAAATGTCCACTTGGGACGGGGTGATAGTCACCCCTTCAGAGAAGGCTTATGAGAAGCCTCCAGAGAAGAAGGAAGGGGAGGAGGAAGAGGAGAATCAAGAAGAAACAGCTGCGGGAGAGGAGGAGGAGAGCATGGAGACTCAGGAGTGACCTGCCCAGGTAAAGACAGCCAGGTGGTGTCAGTCTGAGGCTGCCCATACAGATGTATTCGGGGGGGCACGTCTACCTGGAACTCAAGGGTCTCAGCCTGGTTCCGGTGTCTGGGGCTGTCCCATTCCCATCCTACTTCTAAAAGCAACCTCCTACCTGTAATGCCCGAGACCGTAAGTGGAAACTAACAGTCCAACTTGCTGCTGCTTGCACAAATCTGAGCTAGCTCAGGTGGCTTCTTAGCTGCAGCGTCTGAGTCGAACAGTGTAGGGAAGTCCCTAAGCTTAAACTGGCTGTGATGCAGGACTAGGGGGAACCTCTCTGCTTGGCTAGTGAGCCCCAGTGAATGTGCTCAGGCCAGCTCCCTGGGAAATAAGTGAGAGATGGGGCTGTACCTCACTGGAGACAGCCAGCTGCTGCTCTTTCACTAGTGAGATCTTGCTCTAAGCTCAGGACTCCCTCCTGCACCTGAGCACTCTGAAAAGGCTGGTACAAGTTCCTGCCTCACCTGCATTTTGATGTGGTGTTTGCTTGGCTCTTGCAGTTTTGACCCCTACCTGTAAAGCATCCTGCTGGCCGAAGCACATGAAGAATCTCATCTAGGCCTGAGCCTGTCCTCAACCATCTGTCCCGCCGAACGACGTGAAGAGTCCTTTGTATTTTGTCTTGGTTTTTATAGGTTATATTAAAATGGTTCCCCCTTTTAAGTGCCTCTCCTCTCTGACTTGTGTGTGGGCAAACAACCGTCTCCCCTCCCCAGGCGGAGGCTTGGGGGAGGGGGAGGCATTCCAGATCTCGGAGGAGCCGAAACTGGTCTATCCATCCACTCTAGAGCTGCACTTCACCACTGCGGGCTTTGGGAAAGCAGCCTGCTCATCTAGTGCTGGATCTCCAGGGCTGCAGCTGCGACCAGCATGAAGGGACACTAAGGGACAGTCTAAGGTGCCACAAGTACTCCTGTTCTTTTTACTAAGGCATGTGACAGTCCTGAACCACTCTGTACTGGGCAAGGCTTTCGCTTTCCTCTAGAGCTGGGGCGGCCAAACCCTGGCTCATGAGCCACCTGCAGTGCTTCTCCCGTTGAAATGTCGCTTGTGGAGCCCCCCACGCCTTCCCCCTACCAGACTTAGGGGGGAGCTCCGGCCCTCTGCCTTGCAGCAGGGGTGGCAGGCGGGCTCAAACTTCTCATGATTGTTGTGGGCAGTTTGGAGGGTCAGAGAATGCTGCGTCTGTCAAAGCAGTGCCTTCCCCCGGGCGGGAGAGAACAGGCTGTCCAGTGGGTCCATGGCCACCCAGCTCTAGCAGGAGTACCCCCCCCACATCACTCACCAGTCATAAGCAACAGGCAGTTTATTATTGTACCACCTCCAAGAGTAGCAATATATTGTACATGGACCCCTCCCCTCGATGTTGGGGGGAGCCATACGTTAGGACAAGCCCCCTGTATGGACCGTGGGGGCAGCTGGTCAGAGCCACAGCCCCCATCCAGCGAAGGAGACACTCGCAGGTGCTGCCTACCTCCCCCTACCCCACTGGATGACAAGGAAGCATCAATGCCAGCAAAGGGCCACCCCCCCAGCTTGCTGAGGTCTCCCTGAAAGCAGCATGGAAGGTGGGAGCAGCTCTCCCCCTCCATTTGACACCCAGCTGGGCAGCTCCCCCGTGCACCCCCCCCCCGCCCCCCCCCCCCCCCCCCCCCCAACAGCAACTTCAGCCCATACATTCAGCTCTGCAGGTAAGATGGTAGCTGAGTTCCTGCAGGGCTGGGTGCTCTCGGCTCCCCCTCCCCACCTGAACTCCTAGTACCAGCTCTAGAATCCATTGGGCATCTGTCCAGCCAGGCTGTCCCCAGCGTCACTTGCTGGGAGAGCCCTGGGGGTAGCCGCCTGATGCCTCCAGGATGGCCTTCCTGCGGGCAGTCTCCTTGGCCACGTTGTGATTGAGTCTCCTCAGCCGTTCCTGCAGGGGAGGGAATGCTCGTGTAGCAGCGTGCGGCTGATCAGTCCCCTAAGCCCAGGAAACGCTGCCTCTCTTCCCATGTAGCCCTGGCCAGACCCACAGCTGCATGAGAGAGTGAAGTCTCCTCGTCCCTTTGCAATGGATTCCTTCCCCTACGCAGCCTCTGGATGGCATCGCCCCCTAGCCGTCCTAGCACACATGGGCTAGTGCCCCAGGCTGACAACCAGGAGCCCGGGGTTCTCTCCAGAACTTGGAGCTGCTCAGTTCCATCTTTAAATAGCTACCTCAGGGGGAGTGCAAGTACCAGTCAGTTTCCAAAAGGCAGTACCCAGGGGCTATAAGATTGCGGCTCTGGGGCAGGGCTTGGCACAAGGGGGCACTTTCCCCACACAATAATCTGCAGAGAGGGGAGCAGTGGGGCTGTTCAGGCAGGAGGAAGCAAGTGATGTCTGCGGATACCATCCTGAGCCAGGCCCACAGCCGAGCGCGTGTCAGGGCAGAGATGGCAGAGCCGGGAGAAGTCAATGCAATCTCTCAGCCCCTCCATACCAGCCTGGGGAAGGGGTGTCTGAAGCAGACTCCAGGCCGACCGTCCAGCATCCCCAGGGGCAGCTGGATCGGTTCAGCGTCCCTCAGAAGCTTGGGGGTTTGTTCTCAGACTCCCTCCCACCTGCAGAGCCCAGCGGGGTCCCCTGCTGCACCTGGGGGGGGGGCGAGGTGCCCAGCGGGGTCCCCCTGCTGCACCTGGCGAGGTGCCCACCTGTGCATTCTGCAGGATATTGTTGACCAGCACAACTCGGCGCCGGGCGTTCAGCAGCTTCTTCACGTATGGGTCCAAGTCGAGCGCAACCTTCTGGTCTTCATTGATCCTGCACAGCTCTGAGGGAAGGGACACCGTAGTGCCAGGCGGGAGCAGGCTGGCATCCCCCCATCCCCAAACCCCACCTGAATCACCCCGCCCCGGGGGATCACCCCCTTCAGGCCGCTCAGCCAGCGCCGCACCCAGCGGGACGCGCCCCTTGCCCAGCCAGCCCTGCTGGGCCGGATGCTGCCCTGCGGCTCACCTGTGGCCAGGTTATCGATGTGCTCCCGAAGCTCCACCTGGCTCTCCCTGGGGAAGCACAAAGGCAATCGGTCAGCGCTGCTCCCCAGAGGG